GCCCATGGGCGAAATTGTGATTTGCCCATGGGCGAAATTGAATAGTTGCCCATGGGCGTGAAAGTCTTGCCCATGGGCGAAATTGAATAGTTGCCCATGGGCATCTATGACAAAAGTCTTATGACAAAAGTTTTATGACAAAAAACACTGACCCGCAAAAACTGGCATTTTTTGATATTTGGCTTGAAATGCACAGTCTATGGTGCGTCACTTGTCGGACTACCGTCCTCCGTGATCTGGTAATTTATTGCAGATTGAACCATCGTTCATATGGATGTTTTGCATGTGACGGGCGGCATGCGTCGATGACCCGGTGTGTCCACACAGGAGACAAGCGACTTCATGATTCCGTTCAATCCAGTTGGATTTGGCATTTGATCGTTGCGTGCTTCTGCTTTCTCTTCATCCGTGTATTGAAATACTTCTAAGTACATGTACATTACTGAGAATCGTCCTTGTGTGCTGTATTCTATTTATGTTTACATCAAGTATAGAATAAAACCGAACAAAGTGAAAAGATAATAAAATAAGATAAATTTTAAGTTTTGTGTAAGTTTTTGAATTCTTGATTTGTGCATTTTTTCCAGGGCGCGTTATGAGCTGATGTCAGCAGCACTAACTAATGACAGTTGCTGACGAGTATGCGTTGCGTTGTTTTAACGCATTTGCGGTATAAAAACGAAAGGGTGAGTAAACTTACCATTGGTGAGATTGAACATACAACGCAACGCATACTCGTCATCAGCAACCGACTTTAGTTAGTGCTGCTGACATCAGCTCACAACACGCTCTGATTTTTTCACATTTTTTTTTTCAATTTTCTTCTCTTTGGCGTCAATTGGAGAAATGGATTCACAAAATGAAAACGGCGGCAAGAGCTTTGAAGGTTTATGAATTCCTGTTCACGGCGGTCGGAATAAATTTAATTGTTTACACTATGGCTGAGAGTGTGAGATGAAATTTGTTTGAAATTTGATCATACTGTTGTTTCAATAATGTCATTGATTTATGTATTTTCCATTTGCTAAAGTGTTTATTCGGAACGAATGAATGTATGTATGGCGTGAGAGAGAATCACACCACTCACTCGAATATTTCGAGAGGTGCAGTTCACTTTAAGCATCGCACTATAAGAAAAGCATTGGAAAAAAATTCATTTGAAAAGTTTTCAATGAAAACTGAATCAAAATCGTGTTTCTGTAAGACAAAAGTGTTCTTTTCGGCTCTGTTACAATCTGACGGTGACTTTTGAAAAATGGAAAGTTAGAAGTCCTACAATTATGTACTAATTATGTACTATGCGTACAAGCATTCAAAAAATTTTGTACTTCATTCCTGTGGATTTTATGAAACTGGTATAAAACCGCATTTTGGGCCAAAACTGGTATAACTGGTATAAATTTTTTGTATTACTCCAAATAATCTTGTACTATGGTCTATAATTATGTACTAATTTTGTACTTCCCAAAAAACATCCGCCCGACCCCATTGACCCTCCCTTTTGATAAAAAAACTCGATTTTCACTTTCCAGTGCAAATACACCAAAATTCAAATTTTTTCTACATCGCTCAAACAATTTTGTACCATGGCCTATAATTATGTACTACTTTTGTACTTCCCGAAAAACACCCTCCCGACCCCATCGACCCACCCCTTTGACCCAAAAACCTACACAATCGAAACACGTTTGAGCGCATTTTCAAAACATGCTTTGTTCACAGACAACGCTCTATTCGTGTGATATCAAACACTACATAAGGCTCATGCATTCGTCTCATACGTATTCACTCACTCATTCACTTACTCACCGACATAGTTCATGAATAACGTTAGTGTGAGTGTGTGGGTTATGAACGACATAGCAAGTGAGCGATATTGAATGTATGCTCGCGTTTCATGTTCATGCCTGCGAATACACAAAACCAAGAAATAGAGAGAATGACAAAGAGAGAGAGAGAGAGAGAGAGAGAACTAGTGATTTACGCGCGTAATTCAAACAAAATTTTATTTTTGTATTCATCCAATGCAAACACTGGATAATACACAGTGGATTTAAGCTATTTTGTTACTGCTACGATGTTGTTACACATACATGCACATGAAGTTTCAATCAAAACTGAATGTAAACAATACATTCCTCCTGTCAATTGAACTATCACAGAGCCACATCTAGTGGTGGTCAACTGTGCAACTCCATTCAAATTTGAATGTGATTTTTGGACGTTATGAAAAGAGACGATATCACATTCACACATTGATTGATGGGTACTCATAGCGTCTCATATGTTCATTAACCAATTGTAATTCATCATGTTATTGGGTTGTATTTGGAAGAATATATTCTCATACAATAATAATAACTCATTGATTTTCGGGAGTTTTACAGTAGAGAATTATGTTGTCAATTCAGCATAATTCTATTGGAACGCTATCATCTATGGTTGTTCAATAAGAATTCGCATCCGGGCGACACGTACCGTACAAACAAAGTTTCGTACACGCAGCGCCCGAGTACTTCGTAGTGGAAGAAAGATTTGATGTTCGTGAACATCAATATTGGTGACAAGCAAGCTTCACTTTTCTTCCACTACGAAGTACCCGGGCGCTGCGTGTACGAAACTATTTGATTTTTTGACTCGCTGCCTTAACGGCAAAACGTCTTGACATCCATCAAGAGGTGATTAAATGCGCTACAATCACGCTCGCACAATCGATTGATGTTGAGACATTTGTCTCTTATCATTGATGCTCTCTATAAGCATGACTCTTCACTTGAGAGTTCTCAATGGAGCATGACGCTCCAATTGAAAATTGATACTCCATATGTTTTCTCAAATATACACATATTCTCCAGGATAATTCACTAAGATTATGCTCTTATTGAATAATCGATGCATGACTCGTTCTCTGGATGCACGGCGATGAAGTTACAACAACAATAACACGTATTTCCAATTTAAACATAAGACGAGCTCTACTGACACGACGCTTATGGTGATAGATGAAGATTTCAATCACATAAGCGTATGCATGGCCGATAATCAAGTAGCCTTTCGCGCAAACCGTATAAATCCTATGCTATCGTGTCTGTATTGTGTGTATATATTGACCGCTCAACGTGTGTTTTGTGTATGACCACTAAAGGCAGGTCGAATGTTGTCTTCAGTATGGATTTCATAGCTGCGTCTGGATGACTCCATTATGCAATGGATTTTGAAAATTGCGTGGAGCCTCTATGCTCATCATGAATTCGCTCATTGATAGTGCTACCACTGAATGAGGTGGAGCCGGAGTCAATATACTGGATCAACATCGTAGCAGTAACAAAATTCGCAGGCATGAACATGAAACGCGAGCATACATTCAATATCGCTCACTTGCTATGTCGTTCATAACCCACACACTCACACTAACGTTATTCATGAACTATGTCGGTGAGTAAGTGAATGAGTGAGTGAATACGTATGAGACGAATGCATGAGCCTTATGTAGTGTTTGATATCACACGAATAGAGCGTTGTCTGTGAACAAAGCATGTTTTGAAAATGCGCTCAAACGTGTTTCGATTTTGTAGGTTTTTGGGTCAAAGGAGTGGGTCGATGGGGTCGGGCGGATGTTTTTTGGGAAGTACAAAATTAGTACATAATTATAGGCCATAGTACAAAATTATTTGGAGCAATACAAAAATTTATACCAGTTATACCAGTTTTGGCCCAAAATGCGGTTTTATACCAGTTTCATAAAATCCACAGGAATGAAGTACAAATTTTTTTGAATGCTTGTACGCATAGTACATAATTAGTACATAATTATAGGACTTCTAACTTTCCATTTTTCAAAAGTCACCGTCAGATTGTAACAGAGCCGTTCTTTTCTTTGGTTTTTCATAAAAATCAACTGACGAAATAGAAAAATGGATCAGAATGAAAGACCAATTCCCAGAGGCCACGGTATAGCTTTTCTACATCCCCCATTATCCGATGATAATGCTGGCCCTTCGTTCGAAAATGCTGGCCCAGCAAATGGAAGAGGTTTGCTAATGCAAAGATTGCGTATGATAGTTGCGAAGAAATCATCTTCTGAAAACCGCCATGTTTTTCCAAAAATCTATGTTGATCTGGATCAGATTAAAACTCTGAAGGAAGGAACGGACGTGAACGTGGTTGGCACAATTAAAAATGTCGATATGAAATTTTTTTCAATTCGGTTCTGTGTGATCAGTTTCAGTTGAAACATGAACATTTTCAAGGAGTTCACCGGTTTCATCGTAAGTAAACCGCAAGGTCTGTTACATTTGACGCAAGTTCCAATTCGGCATGTTCAGCCAGTGCTTTCGTTAGTGCTAACTGAATTTGGCACTTTGCTCTTTGAATTAAATGGTCGTATTTGATTTAGGCCAAGCTAGAGCTGACGTAAGTACCAAATGCTTCATGCGGAGTTTTCGTTCGGATGGTGTCCATCAATGCCGTCCAGCAGCGCCTGTCCAACCGCCGGTGCAAGGCACCGAGGCGCGAGCGCGCCAGAGGCTCGTGAGCGCAAAATATTTTGAACAAATGCAAGCGCGTCGAAGGCGTGCGAAAGCTAAACAAGATTTAAACATGTGGAGGTTGTTGCCAAACAAAAAAAATGTGACAGTTCGTCACTATCCGAAGCGCCACCTATCTTTTCAAGTTGACGCGATGTTGAAAACTTGAAGTTTGACACTTGCTATATGTTCATTCTTGTCAATTTTATAAACAACAACACAGCATATTTCAAACAGAAACAAACAAATGATTTATCGATCATGATGAATTCTCATGATACATTTTGTTGGAAATGTGCAAAGAAAAACAGCACACAAAATTGCGCGATTTGCAAAAAGTCTTTTCACAAAAAGTATTCAAACTTTGCAAATGATTTATGTGACGAGTGTAGCCGGAACGAAAACCCGTATAGGTACGTATTTTGATTTGTTTCGGTCAAAATTTGGAAATTTTTTGGAATATTCTCATATGTTTTTCATGATTTTTCTTCCAAACCAGTCAGGAACATCCTGAACTCATCCCATCAGTAATACATTTCCTGCTCAGTCATGAAGAGGTAAATATCTCCATAAGAAATATGTCATTATTCAAACTCAACAACATTTTTGTCATTTTAGATCGCACCATTGAAGAACATCGTCTTCAAAAATAGCAACGATACCGTGAAATACATCGGTTTGAATGAAATCGAAAAGAAAAACTACGATAGTTTTCTGCAGCTCAAAAATGACGTCGAATGGTTCGCGCACCATTTGAAGACAAAACATTTTACGCCTAAGATGAATAAAGGTGAATCTGCACGAGCTGCCGACATGATCGTAGGATACTTGAATCAAGAGATCAGTAACTTATTGATGTGCCCAGAATGCTACGAAAATTGTTATCGAAATCCGGATGACTCCATAACAATACCGTGCACAAAATATCGACATCTTGTGATTTGGGCCGATATTAAAGAATACGGATGCTGGCCAGCGAAAGTGATGTCGATCAACAAACCGAACATGGTTGATGTTCGTTTCTTTGGAGACGGAACAAGAGCCTGTCTCCCCTCACGTAATTGTCATTTGTTTTCAAAGGAAATTCCTTCAAACAAAAATCGGCCCATTGGAAAAGATTCGATAGCTCTTTTTTCACTTGCTCTAAAGGTAAACCTATGTGGTTCCGTATGAATTTTCACTTTTTAATGCGTTTTTTGGATCCTTCAGGAAGTTGAAACGTTTATCGAAAACATGAAGGGAACCTTTGGAAATTTCAAATATGCACCGGCACGCACAGTCATCAAGCCTGAAAATTACACAGATCAATGGAAATATCAGATCGCAGCAGACACGTCGAATCAAATCGAAAATTCAGATGTTGATTGTGAATCGGTGGAAACGGTCCCATTGAACCAAATAGTTGATAATGAAGTGGAAGTATCGATCAAAGCAAATGAAGCATCTAAAGTAGCAGACCAATTGGCCAAATTGAATGATACGCCTGGAGCAGCAAACACACTGGTCATACCAACTGATACGCCAGGAGCAGCAAACACACCGGTCATACCAAGTGATACGCCTGCAGCAGCAA